CAATGACTTCTTTCTTTACCCAAAGATAAAGGAAATATTGAAAGGAAGACATTTTGATGACATTCAGGACATCAAGGGTAATATAATGACAGCTTTAATGGCCATTCCAGGAAAAGAGTTCCAAAATTGCTTTTAAGGGTGGCGTAGACGCTGGTGTTGGTGCATAGCTTCCCAAGGGGAGTCCTTCAAAGGTGACCTTAGTGATATTCAGCAATGAAGTATGTAGCACTTTTTCTAGGATCAGTTTGCGAACTTAATTGTGACACCTCATGTATCTTCAGAGAATTTCTAATCAACCTCTATTACCTTTCTCTTATGTACTTACTTCAAGCCCGAAGTCTAAGTTGGCATATATTCTTGGGCCTTTGGCCTAGATTCTCTTCTCAGAAAGAGTGCCCTTGTCAACTTGCAAGGGGTTACATTCAAAAGAAATAAGACTTTCGAAACTTACACTTTGGTTTGGGTAAAGAATCAACTCTCCATAAAAATCAGTAGTGGATCAGGTATCTCAGTGGTTTATTTTCTGTCATCAAACTTCCTCCCCTGTCAACAGTTGACTGTATGTACATGTGTCCTAATAACGGGATCCTTTCAATCACGCACCCTGCCTTTTAAGATATCCATGCTGGTGACTCTGCTTGTTTGTCTCTTGGGTCTGGATCTCTAATAACTCATTGTGTTTTCCCCACTGTCCTTACCAACCTTTGATCTGACTTGGCATTCCTCCCGTGGCCTCTATTCTCTACTTACACAATGCTAACATCAATTTATTCTTTTCTCCCTTTCCTGCCTCCTGCTCTGATCACTTTCCCCCATTTTTTATCCTCTTTCGTGTTGCTGTCAACTCACTGGCTGAAGAGGTTTACAAGTCTGAGACAGTATTAGTGTTCCCCACCTCAGTGTTCCCCACATACAATTGAGAAATGCTCACTGTTGTTTTAAAGTAATTTTGATATGATTCATCATTCAGATGCTGTCAGCTACAGATACATACAGGTTAGGCACCCAGCTAAAATCACCTAGGGCTCAGCTTTAGGAAGCTCATCTTTAAGTAAAAAATTGCATAATCTTAAGACAGATTTATATAATCATTTGCCTAATGTATTCTTTCAAGCATATTCCGAAGGGAAAATGTTGTTAAGTCTTACAAAAAAGGTTTAAGAGCTCAAATTGTTTTCTTAAAAGAATATTTCTAGTTCCAACTGTGAGTAGGGTTGATATTTCTGCTTACTTTGTTAATTCCATTTGGTGCTATATAATTCAGTAACATGCTAGTGGCAAATGAAATAGGACTTAGGTTGTGTCTAAAATCTGAGAGGGAAAGATTACAAAAGTTCAGTCTTCTGTGTATATATAATTTAGTTATTCATGAGCGATATGGTTTATATTTACCTAAAGAATATAAGGTAAATATAATATCTATCATATAATGTAACCAGTATTTTATTAATACAGAGGTTAAAAATCTAAACTTTCAATTTCCTTTATTAGACTAGGACTTTATAAAATTAATATTTTAAAACTCACCTGGATGGTTCGTATAAAGCCCACTGTTACCCGTTCTTCAAATTCATTCAGGGGTGTGTAAAGGTTTAAAATTTTGACAATCTGTTGGGATGACAAAAGTTTAGCACAGAGCTAAATGAACAAAAGAAAACTTTTGAATTATAAAGAATATATGATATTGGCATAAGAGTCCAATCCTTAGAAAGGACTCACAACTTAGAGCTGCACTGACGTTTAGGCGTCTGTTATACAATTAGTAAACTAGCGTCCATAAGCTTTGCCTGGTAGATCTGAGCCCTCTTATCACCACTTTTCCTACCTCCTACATGCCCACCCTGCCCCTCTTCTATGCTGCATGGCTTAGAATTAGGATTGTAGGAAACTGTTGCATGAAACCCACAGATAACAAAGGTTTTGTTTAACTACACCTCCTACCGCCCCCCAAATCACCTACAAAGGAACAGAGTTTTTTCTTATTTGAATGGAGGATAATCTTGGTTTGCCTATCAGTTGTTTGGTGGATAGCCTGCTCGAATACAAACCAATGCCAGTTGCATTCTAAAAGTAAACTTAATACATTTTAAAGGGAGGAAAAGTTTGAAAAATTTCAGTGCATTTATATAAGGAAGCAGTTTCCTTAAGAGTGGCATTTCAACTTTTAGTAGTCAATGGAGGAGGTAAGAAAATTATTTACTGGGCCGTCTGAGTGGCTCAGTTGGTTAACAACTTAAGAGCACGAGCTCTGAGCAACAGGGTCGCTGGTTCGAATCCCACATGGGCCAGTGATGCTGCACCCGAGCTGAGCTGCCACTTAGCTGCCAACAGGTGACAGGATGGCTCAGCTGGTGAGAGCACGTGCTCCTAACAACAAGACTGCCTGTTCCATGGTGGGATACACCCACCTGCAACTAAGACTGAACTCGGCACCTTGAGCTGAGCTGCGGCCCGGATAGCTCAGTGGATGGAGCATGCGCTCTTAACAACAAGGCTGCTGGTTCGACTCCCACATTGGGATGGTGACTACGCCCACCCGCAACTAAGATTGTAACACAGCACCTTGAGCTGAGCGGTCACGAGCTGCCAGATGGCAACTGGACTTGGAGCTGAGCTAGCTGCACCCTCCATAACTAAGACTGAAGGACAATAATTTGGCTGCTCCCCTCCCCCAACTCCCCAGTAAAATATTAAAAAAAAAATGCTAACCCCCCCCCAAAAAAAAACCAACAAAAAAGAAAATTATTTACTTCGTAACACTGAGTTTGGATTGCATTGTTCTTTAGATGCTGGACAGGGAGAAGGTGTGTGATTTAACTTGGGAAGTTTGATTTCCTTGTGCTGGTCTCATTTTGTGAGACTACCTTGTGGTGGCCCCTTTCTAAAATAGGCACACTCATGATGGAGGGCAAGGTCACCCTGTGTGGAGACAGGACTCATCTTTTCATATAGTTGTAATATCTCTGTAGCCGAGTCCTAGTATAAATACAACTTTTTTGGGGAAAGGAAAGGAACACTTAAGTGCCTTTAGGTTCTTAATTATTTAAAACAATGTAAATAGATTCTAACTGAAAAGATAATCATAATAAAATTATAATTGTAAAGAAAGAAATTTATTTTTAAAGCCAAAGGCCTGATGCTGCCAATTTCTGAAAAAAAAAAATTAAATTTCTAGGTGAGCAACGTTCCCGAATTCCTTGTTAGTGTTTATAGTTTGTCCTTAAGCTTGATGTTTCGTGGGTTTATCTATTTGTGTGCCTTAGCTCAGTGAGCAAGAGGAAACAGCAAGTTACTGGAAAACAGTGGCATCTCGTTTCACAGACCAAACTAGTCTTTGATTCATCTAGGAACATTCCATCAGCTGCAACTTCAGAATTGTATCATTAAGGCGCACAGAAAGGCTGGAAGTACAACCATTAAAAAAAAAAACCCACTGGCAAGAATAGATTTGAAATGGACGCTGGGCTTGCTTGCTCTGAGTCCCTTGAGTGACAGGGTGTGCAGTGAGGGTACCTGCTGGGTGCTGAGGGAGGTGCAGAGGGAGCAGATGGCCTCAGCGTCCTCGGGGGTTTTCTTCTTTAACTGCAAGAGCTGGGCCGCTTGGATCAGAGGTTCCATGGTTTGAACTGCTCCACTCTGGTGAAGGTTTCTTCCCCGAAGCCACTCTTCAAGCTGACTTATATTGTACCTTAGACAGAGGTTAAAGTGAGCTGCGTGAAGCCAGTCCTCCTAATTCATGAGCACACCTGTTGTGTCTGTTGCACAGACTCACTGCCACCACTGCTATTCTCACCTTAATGATCTCCCATGGGCAAAGGCATGAAAAGTGCCTGGCACTCAGTAACTTTTTGTTGACTAAATGGGTGTTTAAAATCAAAAGATGAAGTCCCTACAGGTGTGTGTAAGTAAGTTAATGGGGAGGAAAAAGGCATTCAATATATATATGGAATTAAAAGAACTAATATTTAACACTCACAAACATATTCATACTTCCGTGTGAGCCTTCCAGGCTCTTAACTCTGATCTTCTTTCTCTGACCTATCTGCACTGTATTTACAATCTTTAACTTAGAGTATATAAATGTCGTGGAGCTTTGAACTAATTTGTTTACCAAGACACCATCTCAGTGTTCGATGACTTTCACCAACAAATGAAAAGGGGATGAACTCGAGTTGCATACTGACTGTGACAAGGACCGTCCAGTTAGGTCTGGATTGCGTTTGCAGAGGCATTTGAGCTTCCTGTCTGGCTGGTGGGTGCAGGCCTCCCAGCCCAGCAGTTGGGGTGCCTGCCCTACCTGAGCTGCATGCCTGTGCTCCAGGAGCAGACGTCCTTTCGCAGGAGCAGGTTGTTGAGTGTCACCGCAGTGATCATGTAGAAGAGCTGTTTGAACACCTGCAGGATGATCTCAGGGTCCAGGCCCTGGTCGCACATGACGGTGTGAAAGGAGTTCATCTGGCGGATGACGGCTTCCAGGCAGTACGAGTTATCACCGTCCACCATGCTGGAGGAGCGCTTCCGGTAGCCCGTCGGCTTCACACCGGATAGACCCTGAATGCTCTCGTTTTCCAACATGGCTGAAACTGGAAGAAAAAAGCATGGTGAGAGAAACTTGCATGTTCCCCCAAGATCTGTTTTTGGACCATTCGGGTCATCTATTACTCAGGAATTTGGCAATGGACGCCATCCAGAGGTGTACAATGTTCACATGCTCACAACTTACTGCATTCAGCATAGAACTGCTAATGTGCTGGTGTCTACATGGAATAAGGTAGCTGTGAACCAAACTGTCATTTAATGTACTGGTGATGGCACAAAGAGAACGGGCGTGTACCAACTCGATTCTGTACTGGCTTCTGAGCTGAGAATTGAGCAACTGGGGCTTGGTCCTGGCCCAGCTGCTAACCAGGGCTTAAACCCTGACATCATCCTGCAACTATCCTACATGAGCTGCTGACCATGTAAACATTAGGTTGTCTGTCATGCTTATTGCAGAACACTTGACCACGTGCTAGGACCTTATGTTCAATATTTATTTTAATCTTCCAACAACCCATTTACTGAGGAGGAAATTGAAGTATAAGGAGGTGCTAGGTCACACTGCTAGGAGGTGGCAGGGCCAGCATTCACACCCAGGCCTGTCTGACTCCAGAACTGGTGATAGTAATGATCACATTATTCTGCGTCATGAAGTATCCCAGGTCTCCCTGTGTCTGGGGAGAATAAACTGGTGCCTCACTAGGAGATTTTCAGACAGGAAGAAGGATTTGGAATGAACCTTATACCAGGGAATATATTTCTGGATAGCAAGAAAGATTCTTTCCTGTTTGGAATTCACTTAGAACCTACTTATGTTGTAAGAACCTGGGGAGAGCATTACATGTAAGTTCAGGGGACCATTTCCTCCCCAGCCGGTATGGGGCAGTGAGTGTCATTTTTCTTTTACCTTAAAAGAATAACTGCTCTTAGTTTTCAGCTCTGGTTTTATGTTAAATGCCCAAGTGTACTGCTTTGGACAAAGTGAGTGTTCAATAAATATTTATTGCATGAGAACTTTCTACTGTTTTCTTTCCCATGAACACACTTAATGCTTTCCTTTTTTCATGAATAAAGCATATATACGGGCAAAAATATTATATTTTTTCACTGTATGTGTATTTATACCTTTTGAATTTATATTTTCTACCTATGGAAATTTGGGGGAAAATAATGCAACAAACTACAGTAAGAGAAATAAAGAAAAATGATCTATATTCTCACCACCCAAGCATTATGCATTTTGATGGGATGGTGTTGAAAATTTCATAGCTTTTCTTGGGCACACAGCACACACCTCCTCAATTGCCTTCATGGTATTGGTGGTGGTGGCGGCGGTGGTGGGGGTCCTGGCTTTCTGGAGGCCATGCCCAATATACCCGGTTCCCTAGAGGTAAGCAGGGCCCACCGTGTCTTCTCCTCACTTTAGACCCCATAATGACTAGCAGAGAGCTCTGGCTTCCAGCTTACCTATCATAGGCTGCAACAGCCCCTCGGCGATTTTAATGAGCTGCTGGTAGATCTGAATGGAGAGGTCACTCAGCACCTGACGGTATTCAGTGAGGTCGAAGTTCTTCAGACAGTGCTCGTTCTGCTTGGCGGAGTTCTGAGTCATGAAGCCCTGCAGGGGGAGGGGCACAGTTTACTGCGGCTCTGTGGTCTGCCCAGCTCAGCAGGACTTCTGGGTCTCCAGTCGCTTTGGCCATATCCTATTTGTGGAGCCCTACCAGGCTCTCTGTGTTTATATGATATTCTATAAGACCCTGTCACGTCACCTTCCAAAGAAGACAAGACTGACTGGGGTGGCATATACTTGATTATCCCAGGGAGAGGAGTCTGTCAAAACTTGTTCTGGCACAAAAGGTGGAATCAAGATAAGCTTTAAAACTGTTGTGCCATGTTGATTTATGCAATGTCTTAACCCTGGGGAGGGTGGAGAGGGAGATATGTGAAAGGAAGGGGAGAAAGGATAGCCAAGGAGACTTACAGGGACCTGGGAGTGGGCAGTGTCTGGGACAAGTTGGGGCTCTTACTGGAGAGACTGGAGTGAAAACATGCCATATGTTACTAGGGCCATAGGCTGAATGCAGAGCATGGGAAACGCTCTTTCAGGGACCAATGCTGGCAATGGTGAGTTCTAGACAAAGCTGGGCCCTAGATGTCCAGAGTAAAGATGAAATAATGGGGTCCGTTGAGCCTTAGGCCAAGGAATCAAATTTGGTAAGAAGCACGAAGCTGGGCCTCTGTGTCAGTTTGTATGAATGTAGTTGATTATGTTGTGCCTCTCTTCTTGTCACCATCTTTGTGCTCTTTAAAAGAGACAATCTGGTTGGCTCCGGAGATGGTCTGCACACTAGATAAGTGGGCTTTCTCCCAGCAGTCACTGAAATGGGGTGCTGCTAGGCCCCACAAGGCTTCTAGGCTTCACAAGGGTTTCCCTGGAGAGCCCCAGGTGCTCTCAGACAATGAGTGGGTTATACAAACTCATTTCCTAATTCTACCTATTTGATCCAGGGCGTTTTCCAGGGGCCCTCGGGATCAGCAAGACCTGCTTTATTCCCGCTTCTAGCTAAAGGTATACGGCATGCCCACAGCCTGAGGTCCCAAGGGGTGCTCCATAGACCCCACCCCCTTTTCTTAGGGGAGAACCATGTTTGGACAAAGCAGGGACGCCTCAGATCTGAAGTGCTGTGAAGTGGAACATACCCTGCTGTGCCCAAGGAAGTGAAGGCCTAGCTGCTGGAGGACTTGGGACACTTGAAAAGCTTTTAAATGTACCGTAGGGAACCGGGCTTATCCCAAAACTCACCTCATCCCCACTGTACTGCTTCAAACAATGAAGGAGGCGGCAGGTGTTGGACAGCCAGAACGTTGTCATCTCAAAGTCGTCATTGTGCTTCTGGGAAAAGAAAAGACGCCCCTTCTTATGAGCAGCGGTTCCCATCTGGTTTACTGCTCACCTAGTCCCTCTACTCCATGTTTCCCACTCTTACCCAGCATGCCGCAAGCACACCTGATGACAGGCAGGCATGTGCCAGACAGAGATGAGACCCATTGCCAAGGGGCTGCGTTACTGTTCCTCCACTACTGGAGATGTACACAGACCCCTCTTCCCGGTCCCCTGATCAGTGGCGCACACACATGTGCACACACATGAAGGACAGGCTGCCTCTAGGCCCCAAGAAAACCAAGCCAAATGACACAGATGAGGCTTGACGCCAGCAGTCCTGGGCTCTACTCTGACCACTGGGCTAGTGGCCCTGGATGGTTCTGAACTATCAATGATCCAACATAAAAGACGAAGGGAAATTATTCTGTGATACTGTAATGGTAGAAACACAACATAATGCATTTGCTAAATTATATAACTGTACAACACAAAGACTGCACCCTAACGTAAAATATGGACACTAATTCATAATCATGTATCAATATTGGTTTATTAGCTGTATATTAATGTAAGATAGGGGAAACTGGGAGTGGGTATATAGGCACGCTATACTTTGTGATTTTTTTTCTGTAAATCTAAAACTGTTCTAAAAAATAAAGTCTATCAAAAAATTTAAAAAAAAGATGAAGGGAGCATGCCAGTGAAATAGCTTGTTATCCCATCGACTCACCTAGACTGGCATAGGCCCCCAGCTGAGCTTGTGAAAGAGGGCAAGGCAGGAGACACAACTCTGAGAGTCACCCGCGGGCAGACGTAGGTTTAGAGCCAGGAGTGGATGCAAGTGCCCAGGGAGCCCACTGCAGAGGAGGGGGTGCAGCTATTCATACAAAGCTGGCATGCAATTAGGAGTTAAAGGCTGGCTGTGGCATGTTCGGGAAGGGAGGAGGGGGCAGAAAGCACGGCCCAGGGGATCTCAGACCGGTCTGGACTCAGTGCTTTAGAGGACGGCTTGCATCCTGAAGTGGCAGTGTGTGCAAGAACAGAAGACGACGGTCTCTCAGAGCAATGCCACCTGGGGCTTGGGCCTACTTGGAGGCATAAAAGAAATCTGACCTCCCCGCATCTGGCCTCCAGGGAGGGGAGGCCTTCCTGCAGGCCAGCAGTGGCTGCCAGTATATCTATGACGAGTCCGTGCCTTCAGGTGACATTCCTGAACCACGCCAGTGCCCTGTGAGCAGCCCTGTCCTGGCTCAGGGCGTTGATGAATGGCAGCATCTCTCCCTGTGCCACCACCCTGGGCAGCGGCACCCAGCCTCTGGGAAAGGTCTGGGAGAGGGCCCGTGTTCGCGCTGGTTCCCTGAGCATCACTTCAGGGCAGGGCCAGCCCCCCCCTCTGCTGAGGCAGCCTGTCTTCCTGACAGCTCTGGTCCTGAAAGCACTGGGCTTCCCTGGAGGCTCGGCAGGCAGCAGCTGGAGGGCTACCCTGGGTTTCTGGCCTTCCTGCCATTTCGGAGCCTGGGCATCCTTCTCTGGGAACTGCTCCGGCATCCCAGTCACACAGGTGAGCTGCTGCTCCTGCATTTCTGTCATTTACCCTCCACGTTGGAAACTTTGGAGAACTCGCTACCACAAAACCCCGGCAGAGAAGCAACGGCAAGGTGAAGGCTTCACTTAGGCCACTGCAAACCACCACCTTCGGTGTGGGCCACTTACCTTGAGGACTTTCTTAATGCCATTGATGGTGGAGGTCAGCAAGGAGTGTACCCTGAGATCGTCGTTGACGTAATCTGCGTGCCTGATGCACATGTAGAGGATGTAAGCGGGAAGACAGGGCACTGTGCCCGCCAGCGTCTGGGGCTTCAGCTCTGACAACAACGAACAGCAAGGGTTACATTCATGGCGGATGCTGGGGGCTGTGAGAACCCAGGGCTGAAATCCAAATGCTTCCAATATTTTCCTGTGGCCTCTCATGGGGGTGGGGAAAGAGTGGGGGAGACGCTGCTGTGGCTCCACAAACCCCTCCAACCCTGACCACCAACAGTTTCAGGAACTAGTTACAAACCCCAAGCAAACAACACATTCCTCATCACTCAGTCTATAACATTAAAATGGGCTCCCAATGTCTTGTCCTCATCACAGGGACAGAGGCCGAAGTCCTCAGCAAGGGGGCCTGCGGGCCTGTGGCCAGCAGCGCCTTGAAGACAGGCGCTGGCTCCCCCGCGGGGCGATCAGTCCCCCTAGCACTTGCCATTGTGGGCACACGGGACTGTTCAGCCAAGTTCTCCAGTCCCGGGAGAACTTCGCCAGTTGTACATTCCCAAAGACAGAGCCGGTGTGCGGGGGCTGGGAAGGCTGCAGCAACCTCTAGCCCATTTGGCTGTCAGTTCAAAAGTGGAATACCTGGCAACGCCTGCCCAGACATTCTTGGAGCCAATAGATCAAGAGGTTGCTGACTGGCCACGGCCACTCTCTCCCCACCTCAGGGCCACCACGTGACATGGGTCTCGCCAGCCTCTCTTGGCCAGTGCTAAGCTGGCTACAGTCAGGGTCAGTTACTACCCCAGCCCCCTCCATCCCCCCCCCAATTCTCTCTTCTGCATCCTCCCGCTGCCAGCCGTGCTCTGGTGGGACTGGAAGGGGTCCGTGACTCTCCCCATGAACTTCAGACTCCTCCTCAGCTGCTGAGTCCTTCCCTGCCAAAGCGTTGGAGGGCCAGGGAGAAGTTGTCACATTGCTTTCCATTCCAGAGGAAGCCGGGGCGTCGGCACACCAGGCTTAGAGCAGTGAGTGGTGGTAGGAACCCAGAGGAAGGGGAGGGAGAGCCCAGTGCTAAGAAGAGATGCAAGGTGTGGACAGGAGCAGGGTCAAGGCCCAGGCATCAGGCCCCGGGCATCAGACCCCAGGTGCGCTCACTGTGGCCCCCGCGCTGTTCTCCAGCCCTCACCCTTCATTCTCATTACCTCCATGTCCCAATCTCTGCCCCGTGCCCCAGGCCTCATGAGTTACCTCTAGGCTTGGAATGGCAGTGAGGAGAGGCCACCTCCCCTAAACCAGCAGATGGGCCAGGGCGAGTGAAAGGGGCAACGTTCTCAAACCTTGTGCCAGGGCTCTCCTGGGATGGGGCTGGGGATATGCTGACAGCATCTCTATTTGATACTTGAGTTACATCCAACCCTTGAGATTAAATTCTAACTGCAAACCATAATACTCCAGGTACATGGTCAATATTTGGGCATCTTGTAGGCTCAACACATGACTGTAGACTGGCTTGGCTCTAATTAGAATGCCAGTAACATTTATCCAGAAAAATGTATTTTCAGGCCCAGACTTCCAACTGACAGCTTCTTGCTTCAAGCCTGACCCATTGCAAAGAGCTTGTCCTGACTAGGAACGTTCTATTGGAGAGCATGCGGCTTGAGTCTGCTTCCCATCGCCTGCCTGGTCTGCCCCTCTGAACATGAGCATCCTGGGGGCAGGGACCATGGCTGTACTTCTCTCAGCTCTCCCTCCTCAGCAGCCAGCCAGTGCTGGGGACCTAAGAGGCGGTCGCTAAAGACCTGGCATTTGTTTGCGTGGGCTTTTGGAGGGAAGGTGACTGGGCACTGTGCTTAGGCAGCTTAGCGGGGGATGAGCTTGCCTGGGGCCACCTGAGCAAAGACAGTGGGACGGAGCTACCTGTCTTCAGGTATAAGCAATCTCCATTATTATTATTTTTTTACTCTGATGCTGTGAACTTTGAGTTTCATTCACCAGAGATGAAAGGTTCATTCTTAGCAGCATTTGAACAAGATCTTGTAGCCTTTTTAAGAAAGCCTGAGATGAATTTATAGCACATTTAATTGTTGGGTGATTGTAGGGGAAATTATCCTTTAGAAAAAGAGCAAAATAACTCTGCCAAAAATATGAAAACTACCCAAGGCCAAGAGCTGAACAAAATCCACACTAGGCTGAAGTCACACTCCATACTTCCGGTAGCCTTCAGCCGTTGCTTGGCCCAGTGCTCAGAAGAGTGAAACCTCAAAAACCTTCTATTTCTCTTAAACAATGTTTTCCTCTTAAACTTCAAATTCCCCTGCCAAAGCTACCACATCAAATTTCTCACTTTTGAGAAAGGTTCTGTGGCTTTAACATGACACTGTCACCTGTGTTGTATTTCATGTGCTGGGGTAGGCGGGGGGTGAGGGGGGGCGGTCAATATCCTCACCCCCCTTTTATAGACGGGAGAACTAAGGCCAACAGAGAATGGAGCTAATGGCTCAAGGCCCAGAGGACCAGGCCACCAAAAAGTCCTCCTTTTTTTCATCTATGACTCTCTCCTCTAAGACTCTCCCTCCCGGCTCTGCAGTGGCTGTGGGCACCTAGTTAGGGGGAAGATGGGCGTGTTGAAGCCACACCGGGAATGAGACCAGATGGGAGGGGACCTGTAAAATTGATAAACCAGGCCAAGGGCAAGGAAAGCAGCTCCCAAGGGCCCTGCATGCCGGCCCCCAGAGGGCAGCCCACACACAAACCACAGCATCACCCGGGAACTCATTAGAAATGCGGCAGCTTGAGGTGATGGTGTGAGCAGGAGCGTGCGAGTGGGCAGGGGGTGTGCAGGGGTGATGGAGGACAGCGGGGAATGAGGAGGTGCCTGTGGGGGTGTCTGCAGTGTGGATGGGCAAGTGGAAGGCAGAGGTTTAGGTGGGGGGTCGGGCCAGAGGTGGAGGATGGGGGTTACGAGGTGGGGTTGGCCGTGGAATGCGGGCAGAGGATGGGGGTGGGTGTCACCGGAGGTCCTGACCTGTCACCAGGTTCCGAATGAGAAGGGCCTCGTCTTCCTTGTGGTACTCCAGCATGCCCTGGAAGTCCTTCTCTTTCCGTTGGACGGTGACCTGTCTGTTGAGCTCGTGGCGCCTCTTCTCACTCTGGGCTAATGTCTGGGCAGCTGAGCAGGAAAGAGACAGCCGGTCACAGGGCAGCAGGAGGGGTGGACACAGAAGCACTCCAGGGGAGGAAGCGATAGGGCTTCAGGACCGAGCAATTTCAATGAGGTATACATTTATTTATTTAATAATATTGTATACCAACTATACTTAAATTTAAAAAGTTCTTTTAAAAGCAGCAGCCACTGCCGCCGCCACCTAAGTGACCCAGAGAATGAAAACCTGAGGAACAGAGAACAGAAATCCAAGAATGGGGACAGGAATGGAGAGAGAAGGCCTGAGGCTGAACACGACAGACAGCCCTGTCCTTTCATACGGTGGACATAAGCAGGTGATTAAACAAGCGACACCTGTGATGAGAGCTATGTCCCCATCCCCCAATAGACACCCAGGGTTAGGACAGCAGAAGATGGGACTTAAGCCCTGGGGACGCAGCCCCAGGGCTGAGGATGAAAGGATGAGGGAGTGGTGGAGGGGGGGGGTATCCCAGTGGAGAGGGGAGGTATCCAGGTGGAGAGGGCGGTATCTATGTACTTAAGGGAGGTATCCAGGTGGTGAGGGGAGGTGTCCAGGTGGCGAGGGGAGGTATCTATGTAGTTAAGGGAGGTATCCAGGTGGAGAAGGGAGGTATCTATGTAGTTAAGGGAGGTATCCCAGTGGAGAAGGGAGGTATCCAGGTGGTGAGGGGAGGTGTCCAGGTGGTGAGGGGAGGTATCCAGGTGGTGAGGGGCGGTATCTATGTAGTTAGGGGAGGTGTCCAGGTGGTGAGGTGACTGAGAGGACTCTAAGCAAGGTGGCATGTGCAAAGAAGGAATAGGGATGACATGATTAGACTTGCAGCAGAGAGTCAGAGGAAGAGAACATTCTGGATATTTCTAAAAGAGCAGTTTAAACCTCTAAACTCTCTGGGCCAGGTTCCAGTTTGAAAGTTTAATCACAGAACTGCACTCTTTCCTTCCTGCCTTCCATAGCATGGAGTGAGGCCGCTGTGGTTGGAGTCATTGTGCTGTGTAGCTTTCTTTCACAACACAAAGTATTGTTGTCCAGCTTTACGCCCTTTGAGGACAGGACCCCAGAGTGCTGTCTTGTTTGCCCCTCTCTCCAGCCCTGCAGAGCTCAGAGTAAGCATCCAAACACCTGCTGTATTAGTGTGTCTTTAGTCCAGATTCTGGCAAAACAAGAACGGTTGAGCTAGTGGGGTCTGAATGACTCAGTCACATGACTAGACTGGCACAGGCACCAGGAAATTGGTGAAGTATTATAATAGAAAGAATGTTCAGAGGAAGCCAGGCATTCCAGTCCCTCAGGCTTGGTGAAACACAACTGGGCCCAACAAAACACACGCGCACAAGAGCACACACGCACATCCTACCTTCTAGGTCCTGGACTTTCTTCATGTAAATCTTCAGTTGTTTTTTAAGCTTTCTCTCATTCTTTTCCAGCTTTTCTACCAGTTCTTTAAGGTCCTAAAAGCAGAACAGGGCAGTGTGAGAACAGACCTGACCCCGCCCTGGAGGGCAGGAGTTAGAACCCTTTAGCTGAGCATAGCCTCAGGCAGCCACCTGAGGAGGGCCAGGCTCTGTGACTGGGAGGAGGCCTGCCCCACCCTGGCCAGGCTCACCCAGCTCAGTGCTCTCTGGTCTGGACTGAAAAAGCAGGCAATGGGTCAGAGTTCATTCTCACAATCGAGACGGAGTCACCTCCTCCCAGCTCTGGCTGCCTGGCACCTTGTCCAAACCCATGGTTCTCTAGGCCAAGTGTCCTCAGGTTGCCATGCCAAACCCTCAGAGACACTCAGCCTGGGGTGGGAGGGCAGTACCCTGGGAAGGCACAGACAGGTGGAGGTGTGAAAGTTGGGGGAGGTAGAGCCAGCAGGCTGGCAAGATTACCTGGGGCCCTGAAGCAAAACAGAAACCCAGCTGGGGCCCCTCTGTGCCTGCCAATCCCTAGCAATTATGGCCCCTGGAAGCCAATCAGCCCACTGGGACCTGGAACAGCATAATGTCACCCCGTTCCAGCTGGGTGGTGGTCCTGTGTGGCTGGAGACGCAGGAAACTCCATTACCATTACAGCCTCTGTGACTCGGAGTGCTGTGGCAGACAGTAGCAAATGCACCAGTGTGGAACCTCAGAAAACATTGGGGTGACACATGCTTTTTGTTTTTTTTTTTTAGCTGAGCCATCCTGCCACCTGTTGGCAGCTCAGCGGCAGCTCAGCTCAGGCTGGGAATCGAACCGGAGACCCTGTTGCTCAGAGCTCGCACTATTGAGCGAGCTCTTAACCAACTGAGCCACTCAGCTCGCCCCGTGACACATTTTTAAGGTTGGCCTACAGATGAAAGTCAGCCAAAATCTCAATCCAGTGCTACGGCCACGGCGAACCACAAACCCAATTATAGACATTGCCAAGGATTTCATATATTTAGCTTAATAAAAAGTAAATTAACTTAAAGAAAAGCTTGGCCTTTAAGTCTTTGAGCCGCGCCTGCTCTTAACCCTTTGGAGTGCACTTTCTCTTCTAAAAATGGCCCTTGAGCCACTGCCTTCTGCTCGGGTCCGCCTCTACCTCTTTGAAGTGTACTTTTCTTTTAATAAACTGCTCTTTCACCACTTAAAAAAAACACACACACACACAAAAACCCTTGAAGTCAGAAACTTTAGGACAAACAAAAAGGAACACAGTGCTGGCCAAAGTGGGTTTTAAACTTGGGGAACTACTGAAGCCCAAAGTCCTAGAGGCTAAAACTGCAGATGGCTTATGAAAGAATGAGTTCCACCCACAAGGAATCTTGGGAACAGAGGCGCATGCCTCTAAGTGAGCACGCCTCAACTTACCCAGATGCTACCTGGAAAGACAATCACACCCTCCCTCCCGCACGGCCCTGGAAGTGTTGCCGCCTGATCATTCCAGCTGGAGGCCATTCACCTAAATTCCTGTAAAGTTGACCTTGGAGGCACCCAGCATCCGGGTTGTGGTCCAGGTACACAGAGTCATCCCTGCAGATGGCAGTGCTTCTCCAGGGGGCACATGCAAGGCACTAACGCTTGCTCGGCGGGGGAACAGAGGTCGCAGAAGCCCCTGCTCCCTGCCCAGTGGCTCTACTTATGGGCCCAGCCTCTCTGCCTGGGTAGACAGGGTGGATCATGCTCTAGAGAAGGAGTCTCCCATCAGGCTGCAAGCCGGAGCCCTTCTCGTCAGCAACATCCTCGTCTGCCCAACAACCCGGGCTCCTGTTCAGGCGCCAGGGCTCACCACTGGGCAGAGGGGCCCGCAGTGCTGATTCCTAAAGCGGTCCAGTGAGCTGGCATGGTTCCTTCATGGAGCACAGTCCTCCATGCCACTTGGCCCATGGCCCCGCTAGGAGCACGGGCTGGCAAAGACACTTCCCACACTGCACACTGCCTCCATTACCTGGCAGAAGCCAGCTCAACAACTTAAGATGTGTATTTCTGTCCCTAAAGCCACCTGTTTACACGCGTATGTATGACAAACAGATAGTAACATGCAGACAGAGAGAGGGCAACAGAGAGAAGGCCGATCATTTGAATACAAGTGCTATTCAGGGATTTGTGGTCCAGGGCCCCACTTCCCTGCTCAGGATGGAGTGAACTGGTCACCTAGCACGGAGCCACCTGGTTATAAAGGGGAAATGCTAGACTGGAAGCTCTGCTGGTGTGTGAACCTGCTGGGCAGGTTAGGGACACTCTCTGCTGCTCCCTGACAGGCACACCCAGGTCCAGGGGGCCACTGGCCCCCCCACTCCTGCCCTGGTGCCTGTGCCCACGTTCCTCCTCTGCCCCCTCCTCTCTGCCCGTCTACATGGCTGACATCCCCTCCTGCCTCCTGCCTCAGCTCCAGCCTCCCCTACAATTCCTTCTTTTTCTGTAACACTTGCTAATCCCACGTAAAATCATGTTTTCAGCAACATGATCTTCTCTCTCCTCTTTTTTACTCGGAAGCTCTCTGAGAACAGACTGCCTTCCATTTCTCTGGCAGATGCCAGGGCTCCTTTGGAGATTGTCCCCAAGAAGGACCAGCCTCAATTCCTCCCATGACTCCTCCTAGCAAGAGGAGTCCACCCCCCACTAAACCTGGCGTAGCCATGTGATTCGTTCTGATCAACAGAGGTGCCAGAAGCGACCCCGTGCCAGTTCTGGGACTGGGTCTTAAGAGGTGTCTCAGCTCCTGACTGCCATGCAAAGCAGCTCAGGGCAGACCAGTGAGTGACAAGAGCTATTTTACAGAGGATAACAGTCAGCACTGAGGCCCTAGCCATGGGACTGAGGCTGACGCGGCTCCTCCAGCCCCAGCCAGCCTCAGTGGAGACGAGCCCTCTGAGCCCTGCCACAGTTCCGGACCGCACAATGTGACTGCTGTCTTACGCTGCTGAGTTTTGGGGAAGTTGGTTACACCATAATAGATGACTGAGATGTCGCCTCAAACCCTAGCTGACTGGAAGATTCTATATTCCCTGTTCCTGCTACAGAGCCAAGGATGTGAACCTTGTCTGTTTGGCTATAGGCCATCCCTGATCCCATTTTTCTCCCAGAACATGGCTTCCGGAGCTGGGATCCACCTGGCATGGCTACTCACCAGGTTCTCATTGGTCAGCCGCGATATCTCCTGCTGGACACCGAACTCCACCTGGGCCTCCGGGGAGAGCAGCAGCGTCTGGCAGAAGGTCTGCTGCTGCTTGTCCAGCTCCTCCTTCAGGGCCTCCACCTGGGCCTGGAGATGCTCCACCTCCTCCTCATGCTCTCGGCTCTGGGCCTGCAGCTGAGCCTCCAGCAGCCTGCACCAGGGAGACGAGGGCAGGTGACTGCGGGGCTCGGGTCAGCGCCCCCAAGCGGGGGACCCCAGAAGGACACGCAACAGGGGAGAAGCCAAGCACACAGCAACAGCAGCAGCGGCAATTGCATGAACCCAACAGGATGGACGCCGAGAGGGACAGATCTGCGCGGCTCATCAGGCAAGCAGGCCAGCCTGTCCTCTCGGAGGATGGGAAACTGGGGCCAAACGCGGCACCTCTGCTCGTGGGCCTTTTCCTGGACCCCTCTCATTCCCTTGTTCTTCATTCCTGAGCACAGTCTGTTGGTTTAGGATTGAAAAATTGTCTCCATGTCAAAATGTCATCAGCAGAAATACATTTCTCATAGTATCTTCTAAATAAAGGCGAACACATCTGCCCCAAAGCTCCCAAGAGTCTAAGACAAAACTCTGGGTAAACTGAACTAATTGTTTGCATATTTTCCCTAGAGTAGACTCTCTGCAGGTTTTAGAAAAGCAAACCATTAGCCCCCTTCCTTTCAATTTATCTTTACCAGTATCACCCCCACTTTATATATACATTTTCCCTCCCAAACAAAACGGAAACTAAGACTATTTGCTAATGATCTGGGGGAAGGTTTAAGATCAACCGGTGTCATGACAAGCAGCAGAGAGACCTAGAGAAGATCTGGAGAAGGCTGGGGAGAACTCTCAGAAGACTCTCTGAGTCTAAAGGCCCCACCCCCAGGGGCGCCAGATACCTGGGTGATTCTGGGAAAGCACCTGTTCCATCATACTAAAAGGCAAAACCTTAATGAAGGTTCCTAAGTGGATTCCTTTGTAGGAAGTTAAATACTAACACGACTATGGTGCTATCTTCCCTGACTGGATTACTTGAACAAACTTCTAATAAACTTCACATGAAAGAAAGACAGGAGGTGCTGGATGAAAAGCTCAACGCTTCCTGACATATTCTACATGGGAAAAATTCATCCCCCCCACCCATCTCCTTCTGGGATGCACATAAAGATTGTGACCAGAGCTGTGCATAGAATTATGAACCTGGAAGTGCCCAAGCCCAAGAGACAACTGCTGGACCCCCCTGGCTGCCCCGGAGGCAGGGAGGTGAAGAGGTTATCATGTTTTTGCAGTTCTGCTATCATTGTGGGAGACGATAATTGCCACAAGAGAGGAGGATGCCAGAGACAGGGGAAGTCTACATTGTCAGCTCCCAGATGGAAGGAACCACATTTTCCACTGCTCAGTCAATGATGCTTAGCTCCCAGTGGCTTCTCAACAAAGTAACACGAATGAAGAAATTCTGGAGGAATGACTGATTCACACACTCACCACTAGGTAGGCAGCACTACCAAAGGAAAGCAATAAGGTAAGGACGGTGGGAGAATAATTTGGAAATTATTCAGCATTTTAGAGAACATATGATATTTGGGTAACGTCCGATCTTGGCTACAATACACTGAAAGTAGTCATCAGTAAGTTCTAAGTTGAACGAGAGAGGTAGAACAGAAACGCTTGAGGCCTGGGGACTCACTCACATCTTTCATACTCTCCATGCAGACTGTAGTTGGGTGACAGTCCAGGATTCTGTGCAAGGTCCGAGAATCTCTGCCCCAACATAGGCTAGCCACCTCACCCTGCAGATAAGAATACTGAGGGAGTGGTCTGAGGCCGCAGCCAGTGGAGGTACTGGGTCTGGAAGCCAGATCTCCCGAGGCAGGCCTGTTCTTTCTTGGTTTTACTAATGCATTCATTTACTTATGTATTCAGCCACATCTAGCTGCTGATAGCCATGAGGAACTACCTGGTTTCACATATGGGTCCCTCCTCTAATAAATAACACTTCTAGGTGGACAAGAACCTGATCTTATTGAATAATAGCCATCATAATAATAGAAGTAGCAGCTAATTACTTATTCTGTGCTTACTACATGGCAGGCAGGTGCACAATGCTTTACCTGTATTAATCTTATTCCTCAGAATGACCTCATGAGGCAGGGTCTGTTCTGAGCCACATGCCACCAGCGAGGCAACAGAGACAGATGCTACCTTGCTCGCTGGTGGTAGGGTCATATTTGAACCCAGAGGCAGTAGACAGACTACCTCGAGAACCAGCTGACCTGCGCTTCCTTTTCCCAAGAAGAGATGCTTGTTGCTGTAGTAAGACCTCCACTACGTCATCAGCAGGCAGAACTTTGAAGGCGGTGCATGAGTTATCCGTTCCAGCTCTGCCCCACCTCACTGAGCCTCCGTTTCCTCTTCTGGAAAACAAGCTTGAAGACCACTGTCCCCATCTATTGGGCGTCTCAAATGCACAAAGCTATGCCATGGCCCCAAAAAGCCACACGCTGGCAACAAAACGTGTGACATGACCATCATGCTGTGTTACTTCTGTGTATGTCTGGCTTCCCTTGCTAAACTGCTCACCCATGGCTGAAGGCCAACGGGTTATGGATGCAGACTCTGGTATCAAATGGAACCAGATTCAAATTCTAGATCTTCTGCTTAACTAGCAAGTTCCCTAAACCCTGCCGGCTTCAGTGTCCTCGCTCCACGAGTGTGCGGTGAAGGTTAGACTTGTTACACGCAGCACTCGTAGACAGGGCTGGGCAGCTGTTGTTCGCTCCAGGCAGTCACTGGGGTAGGGACCCGCAGGCATGCTGGAGGGCAGGCTCCCAGGGGCCCCATGCTTACAGCACAGCCAGCAGCACCAATCTGGCCGATGCTCTCAGCTGATCCTGTGGAGTTAAGGTGATCAACACGTAGCATGGAAGCAGCACAGACTCAGGAGTCCCCAGAATTAAGTTTCCTTCTCAGCCCTGTTCAGCTGTGTGCCTGCTGTCATGTGAACTAGCCCCCCCCCCACCGTGAATTCCTTCACCCACAGAGCCAGTGAGTTGGACCAGGTGGTTTCTAAGTTTCCACTGAGCCATCATGTGCTATCACCTTGATCCAAACAAGCAGCTTCCCTGACCTCAACCACTGGCCTGGACACAACAGGCCAGACAGGAGACCTGAAGGGCTATCCCCGCACCCCCACACACACCTCCCCACACCTCCCTGTCAATTGTGCCCTGTGCCTTTGCATCCATTCCAGCTGAAAAACAATGAAGCGCAGACATGAGCAGGCAGAACAGACAAAGCAGACACAGGAAGAAAGGCATGTATTTGACCTGGCAACTTGCTTTAAGCCTTGGTAGGCCAAGCCGAGTTCTCCATCTTCATTCAAATAACCCCAATCCTCAGTCTTGCTAGAAATAAAGGACAGAAACACAGGGCATCCAGTGTAGAGGAAAGAGACAGGCAGGCAGAGAACCCAGGAACATGAGGCGATTCCAGCCCAGGTGTGGAAACTAGAAAAGGGAAGGTTCAAAAAGCCCTGGTGCCCCTCCTTCCTCTCCTGTCGCCAGCACTGGGCGCCTGCAAACATCACCTCTCCCCCAAGTCTCCAGGTTCCAGTGCCTGCCATGCGCGCTTACGTGAAACTCACTAATCACAGGCCAGAAAATATGGCCACAGAGACAGCTCAGGGTGACACTTGATTGGGTAGTTCAGTGAGCAGCAGTGGCACAGGCTGAGTCCGGCGCTCACAGGTTTTCACACTGGTCCTTCCCTGTACCAGTGATTCTTTGGAAAAGGAAAGGGAGAACCAGGAGAGATGCAAACAGGGCAGGGAGGGGAGGACCCCTGTGCAGTGGGACCTGCAGGCCCCAAGCAGGTGTTCACAGTACAGGGCCGTGAGGGGGGCCTCCTGGGACGCTGTGTCCCGCAGAGCAAGCACCTGGGGATGTCTGGCTCAGCGAATAGAAGGAACGAGACTATATGTTTTGCCTGCTTTCCAATGGGCACCTCTTTTCTGTCACTTCTTAAGGGCACAAAAGTATTAACTCATCTCAACTCCAGCCCTTGCTGCAGTCTTGCAAAAAGAAACAGCTAATAAAAACTTTGTCCCCTTGACCTCGGGACTGGGCTGCATTACTCCACTTGGACAGAAGGCCAGGTGCCCTCCACTTGCAAATTCGTTTGCCCTCTCCAGTTGCCCAGTTGGCTTGTCCTGGAGGTGAGGTGCATGTCACATGCACCTCTACGTATGTTACCACCCTCCCTTCCCCTCCCCCCCATACACGCAACTAGAGACAGGCTAGTAGGATTGGGTGGTGAGTGGCAGGCACACCCTGCCAGGATTCTGACCCCCGTCTCTGCTCCCTAGCGGGCCTCTGTTCCTGGGGAGCCTCCTGCTGGTTGGATCCCAGCTTTCCTGGCAGGAATCTTGGAGCAGGAGCTGCAGCCACGTGGCCTGCTATCAGGATCAGTGACCCTATCCTAACTTCTGGGGAAAAACCACCGTCCTGCCGCTGTCAGGTTGTGAGGCCCAGGGTGTGGTGATACCACGACATCTCCCCCAGCTCAGCCTCATGAAGAAGGGCCCCAGCCCCTGCAGTTGCTCACAGGGGTTCTGACAGAAAGGAGGAGAGTGGGAGGTAGAGGTGAGCATACTTCTGGGGGCTGCTGTATGGCTTCTGTTCCTGGGGTCTACTGTTTACTGTCATCGTTCTCCCTCCAGCCAGGCAGTGGGGGGATTACTGCCAATGGGTTTATCCTCGGCACATCTCCCACTAGGGACCCCCACCCCGCAAATGTCCAGCGCCCTCAGCCAGGCCTGGCCTCCCCAGATAGCGCCTTTGGTTGCAGGCGTTTTGCTGTCCCCTCCTGTGCTGAGCCCTTCGCTGTGCAGTGTGTTCCACTGTCCTTAGTAAACGCAGAAGTGCCCTGGGCTGTGTTAAGAGGGGCTGACAGCTTGGCCCCTTCCCCTTCTCAGGTATTAGCACTGACATTTAACTAGGTAGAGCCCCTGGCTAGCTAATACTTTCGCCCAATGGGGGGGCTCGCTGGGAGGAATTCCAGGGTCGGTGGCGACAGCCATGTTTGGGTAGGGCCCGGAGAGTGGCTGCACTGTTGCTGAAGGGAGCACCTGGAGACTACACTCAACACCTCGTTTGCCACACGCGGAGACACCTCAGAGTTCCTGCCCGACTCTGACACCTGGCTTAGAACCCAGCTGGTGTCCCCTCCCTGCCTCGCGCGGCTGGGCCCCCAGACCCTGAGGAGAGGCTGCTGTCTCTCTTACAGGGTCACTGCACTCTTGCAGTTGCAGTGACACGCCAGTGCTAACACTCGCTCCCCACGGAGGTGCACGGGCTACGCCGTGAGGAAGTTAGCTTTAGTCCTCTATCGCCAGCCTCAGAGGGAGACACACAGAGTTCTTAATTCTGTAACATGCCGGGCATTACGCACAGAGATAAGGAGACTGTGCAGCCCAATCATCCCCACCACAGTGCTAGGAAAATTGGGCCCATGAGTAAATTAAAAACCAGTCAACCAACTGCAGGTCCATCCTTTCTTCCCAGATGAAAGAGCAGCAAAGCCACACGGGAGCTTCCTCTCCTCCTCCACACACACCATCAGCGGGGAAAGGCCAGGGAGGGAGTGCCACCTGGTGGCATCAGAAGGAAGATCCCAAACAACGCGGCTCACGGGAATTGGTTAAATGTTAAGTCAGTGAATAAATGAGCCAATATTCATAGAGAACCTCCTGTGTAGACGCCACGGTGCTGAGCCCCGTTCCCACACACACGAATAAGCAGCAGGTCGAGTCTCTGACTGCAGGAGGCAGCAAGACAGAGCTGGAGAAACTGGCTGCAGAGCCAGGCGTCTGGAAGGCGCTCCCAGCTCTGCTAACAAGCTGGTGGCCGAGGCTAATCGCCTACCCACATGCCCTGGGTCTGTTGCTTTATGTGTAAAGTGAAAGTGCTCGGCTGAATTATCTGAGAGGTCTCTTCTGTTCTTTAACGATATAGCCTTATTAATTGTAAAGGTCATGCACCAGAAATGGCCTGGGATAGCATTTACGAGACTGAAAATTGGGACCCAGCAACCACCCCTCTGCCCAGCTGAAAGACCTGCCTCCCTGTGGAAACAGGTGAGGATCCCACCAACTGGGAGTTGGTCCATTTCCTGTTTCCAAAACGACCACTTTGTGCTCCGTGGATGCTCCTGTTTCTTTAATTCACACCCAGACTTTATACCCAACTGCCCAGGAGATTTCCTGGGACCTCTGAGAAACAGGATGTGGCAACCCCAACACCATGAACAAGAGAGAAGCATTTAAGATGACAGGCGGTGAATTGTTGGTGGGGTAAGTGTGGTTATGTCACTGAAGTACAGCAGGCAGAAATTGTGCTGATGGCTCAAGGACCAATAGAATTTGGGGGAAACGTAAGGGAACGATCACCTTCTAGAAGAAAGCTGAGGGTTTCTAGCCAGGAGCAGTTAAAGAGAGGACCTGTGAGAGCAGCTGAGCAGAATCAGGTTCTTCTCCCACTTTGTCATTCTGAACAAGACACCCTGCAGCAGCTGGGGCATTTGGCCATCAACTCCAAGCCTGTCCTAAGGCGGCTGCACACACCGCTTCCTGGTTAAACAAGGTTTCCTCTGTGCTGGGCAGGTCCATTAGGGGTGAGTAATCAACCCAGGTTTTCCTGCCCAAGCCCAGGTGGCAGCAGAAAAGCTCATCTTTGTGCCAAGGGCCTCCTGTAGTTTCCTGGGACCTGGGTGGAGAGAGCCTGCAAGGAGGTTTCCGGGGACCCGAGGAAAGGTCCAATAATGAACCTTAAGTCTCGCTTCGGACTCTAGAGACTTGGCAAGGCTTGGGAGGAAATGGCCAGTGGCCAAAGGAAAAACTGTCCCTGGAGCCTGACCTGAGCCCTAGCCACACACTCCAGAGAACCTACCTAGCTCTGCACCCTTGAGGGCATGCGTAGAGGCGAGGCCCGCCTGGGAGCAGCAGTGCTCTCCTAGCTGACTTCCCCACGCCTCGCCCACATCCACCCTGACAGCCGAGAAGACACACTCCAAACACCCACCTCTGTCTGCAGCAGTCTATTTCTAAGAGGGCCACGGACCAGCCCTCCCTTTACTTCAGTTTTGCCATATAGAAAACGGTAATCATGGTGCTGGGTTCTCTTAGCTCCCAAGATGTGAAATGAGACAGCTTTTCGGAAGCAGAAATGCCACACATATTCCTGTGGCTATTTCAGGAGCGGGTCTTCCCCACTGGCTTCTCTTCCCAAATTTGAAAGCAGAAAAGACACATTTGTAAAGATCAAAACAGAACTCTATCAACTATGAAAGTTACCAAGTGAAAAAAGTTGTGGCCTTGGGGACCATGGGCTCTTAGGGAGGCTGTGACTGGGTGCGGGGGAGTGTTTTAAATCCCTCCAGAAATCTAAGCCGAACTCAGTGTATCTGTGTAAGTTCTTCCCACCTCCCCCTAGATCACATAAATTGAATACAATTTATCCTTAAACCAGAACACTCTCCATTACAGAAAAACAGTAGGAGAGGACAAGTAACTATGTTCAAAGCACCTCTGGCCAGCTGAGCCCCAGGAACCACAGTGTGTATCTATCCTCCTTGCCCTGCCAGCCTGCCCCTGGCTGTCCTCCCTCCCTGCTGGGATTCACCGAATTGGAAGAGAGGCAAACGCATGACTGTGACTTCCAGGCACTGGGGAACTACTGGGTTGTCAGAAAAGTCATGCCACATTTTCGCAATGAAAAACAGGAAAAAGTACGTCATGACTTTTCCGACAACCCAATAGTTCTTCCGGCTGCCCCTCCCCACCAGGAGGCAGTGGCTCGTTTCTGCACTTCACTGGTTTCACAGCTTATTAGTTCCCTATTGTACCCTGGGCTTGCTGGGAATAGAATTATTTTAAGATACCAGAAAAGCTATTTTTATTTTTATCACCATCATTATTGCAGCAAAGGAAGACAAATCCAGGGTATTAAGCAGCCCCTGGAAAACCTATATTTGGGACTGGATCCTGGACAGCCATTTGGATGAAGAAAAAGGGAGCTGGTCACAGTGATGGTTCTGAAGATCAGCAAGATATGCACACTGGCTTGTCACAACCAGCATGCCTTTCTTTCTTCTTTCTTTCTTTCCTTTTCTTTCTTTCGTTCGTTCTTTCTTTCCTTTCCTTCTTTTCTTTCTTTTCTTTCTTCTCTCTCTCTTTCTCTCTCTCCCTCCCTCCCTCTCTCTCTCCTTCCTTTTCCTTCCTCCCTCCCTTCCTTTTTTATAACTTTAAATATCACCTGTGCTTTTTTCTTATTTGTTTCATTCTTATCTTCACCCAAGATAACCTAAAATGACTAAACTTTAACTCCAGTTTTAGCACTGTGAGATTCACCTTCATTTTCTTCTCTCCCTCCTTTAGGGAAAAGAATTACATCTCTGTGGACATACACTGAGTTTCCTCCTGGGGGCTTTCTGATGACCAACACAGACCGTGGGCTGGAGGCAGCCCAGCCCGGAAGTCAGGCCTGCTGGCTTCTGCCTTGACTCAGTCACAGGCCAGCTGTGGGCCTGGGCAGCTCAGCCCTCCTGGGCCTGTTTCCTCATCTGCAGAAAGAGGGGCTAGAGTAGACCTGGAAATCCGAATACTAAGATTCCAGGACTCGGCTGCCAGTAACTTCCTGTCGCACTCCCAGCGCCACCTACTGACGTTTTCTGGAAGCGCTTGCTGTTTTCAGCGATTTTCAATGCTCAGTGATTGTTCAGCATGCAGTGAGTTGAGGCTGAGAAAGGTAGCCAGGTAAACGGCCAGCTCCGTTTTCACAAGTGCCCACACAGGCACAACGAGGCAGAGAGAATAACAATGGCGATAATAGCACTAACATTTTTTGTGTGCTTATCATATGCAGGCACTGTTCTAAATGCTTTATGCGGATGAACTAACCTTATCTTCTCAGTCACCATATAAGGCATACACGGCTATGATTGTCCCCAATTCACAGATGAGGAAACTGAGCTACTGAGTGGCTATGAAGTAGTTACTGAATAGTTGGTGAGCGGCTGGACTCCAGAGTGCACGTTCTCGAGGGTTGTGCCATACCATCTTGGGGTCCCTGCTCTGTCCTACATCCCGGGGCCCTGCTGCCTCCCTCACGCAGTCACTCTTTTTGCCTTAGCCCTGGGTAGCTCATCCTGGAGGAGGGACCAGAGGCGGCTGGTTAAATCCAGGGCAATCTTATTCTAGCCAATCTAGTAGTGGTCAAATTCTCCCACCCAACCTCTGTTGGGCTCCCTCTCTTAAATGATGGGCGATGGGGCCCCCATTGAGTAACGCCCTCCCCTCCCCCCCAGCTGGGGTGAGTAAAGATGGTATTGCTGCAAAGAGCTGGAGCAGGCGCCTCCCTCCTCCTGTTTAGTTGGGCCACTTTGTGCTAGCATCCCTCTCAAAGAGAAAAGCCACTCTCAGCCAGCCTTTCCCTTTCCTTGGCCTCCTGTCAACCCTCCCAGGAAAGCTCCCTTTCCGAATGGTCTTTGGAGGGTCTGGGTTCTGGATGCTGCACGCATGTTACTGGAGTCTTGCTGAAGCCAACAGCAGGTTCCTAAGGCACGGGACTCACTGCTCCTTCTCATTTATCTCTTATAACAGATAAGACCCTGATGCTGAGTGCATGGTCAGTGGCCGAGGAGTGGCCTTCACTCCTCTGGGCAGGGCCCCTCTGCCAGCGCCTCCTCCAGGTACGGTAACCGTGAGGTGGAACTTACCTGTTTGTCTGGCAGACCCCGTGATAGGCCTCAATGGCGTCTTCCTGGTCTACGTGCTTTTCGCTGTTAGGCCAACTTGTTCTGGCATCAATGTTTGGCTCCTGGAAGGTCCAAGGTTAAAAAAAAATAAATCACTTTGGTTACAGAATTGCCACAAAATGACTTTTTATATAGACAGAGGAATAAAAACGACCCTTTGGGAAAAGACAAAGGCCCAGGACTATCTCAGATAATAGCAGTTAAACCCAGGCAGGAATGTGACCTTTTAAAGGTCATGCTGGGGGCCGGCCGAGTGGC